TCTTCCTGGCAGCCAGTTCAGACTGAAAGTCCAAGGAGAAGCAAATTTACAGCTCCCCTGAGCTGCCCCAGACCCCAAGGCAGCACGAAGCCCCAGCTGCCTGGAGTCGTGTTGGGGACGAAGGGGGGCCTCTGGGCCTCCCGTCAGTGGCTCCCGGCTTGGCTGGGAGAGTTCAGTCAGTGGCCCACAAGACCTTCTGTGCTGGGAAGTGAGGTGGCCAGGGACTGTGGAGGGTGTGGTGGGGGAGGGCTTCCTGGCCCTTGGGGAATTGGGAAGGGAGCAAGAATACTGGAGAACAGATTCCTGCTGGAGAACCGAAGAAAGTCCTGTCCAAAGGCCGATTTGGAGAAACTGAGGCAAGGGCTGCTTGCTGGACCATAAAGTAGCCAGGAGAACTGGACATCCAGATGTCTTCTCTCAACAAGCATTGGCTTTGTAGCCCAGCAGCTTAAAGGGGGTTGTCCTGTAAACAGGGGAGCCCAGATTAGTGGCCTGAGCTCTGCCACTTGCTAGCAGCCAGCTTGGACGTGTAACTTGACTTCTGAGCCTACGGATGGCAGACGATAGTAACTGCTTCCCACAGCTGTCATGGGTTATGTAACACCTGGAGGAGGGTGATCAATAAATTCTGGTTGTTATTACTGCACTCACTCTGCTTTAGTATCCCTCCTACTTGTCTTCACTTTGGAGGCCTAGAGACCAAATCTCCAGCATATTCTCCAGACCCCCTCCAGCACCCTCCCCTGTTGCCTCTGGGGAGCTGGGCACAGGCTCATGGCACCCTGTCTCTGCCTTTGTAGCTGCCCCACCAAGCAACTCGCCCGAAGACATCACGAGAATAGTGGGGTGTGAATGGAGATATCTCTGGGTATATGCGCTGACTGCACTTTGGAGAAACTTGCCCCTGAACACAACTGCGTGAAATGGAGTCTGTGGGAGTTGCTGGTGGGTTAAGAGGCAGGTATCAAGCCTATAGGCTCTTTCTACTTAGAAGAATATAGGCCAAGATCTCCTCAGGGGAAGTTTATAGAGGCCTTAGACATACTCGTAAGCATCCAAATTTAGTGAATACTTTCCCAAATGGTTCATGGTTCACTGAGAACCAACAAATACCCAGAACCTATTGCTTGACCCCATAGGCATCCCCTGATCTGTATATAAGGGAGCTTTTCTGCTTCTGTCTTATTTCATGAACCAGCAAATGAGTTTAATACTTTCAGGAAAGTGTATTTTTCTTGCAGCGAACAAAATTCACAGACTCTGAACTGGAAAGGATCGAGGAGGTCCCATGAAAGTGAAGGTCCACCCTCGGCTTGCAGTAGCAAGGCATACGGTGTTTCTCAATAGAACAGAGGCTTGTTATAGAGTGGACAGCAAGCTGCATCCGTCCACGCAGCAATATTTATTAGTTACTGGATTGGGCAATGAAATCACTTCTCCTTGAGATTATCTCATCAGTTTGATAACTAACTGCCCTGATCACCCCACCTAGAGAACAGAGCAAAGGAAGAAGCTTTGTAAAAAATTACTGTTTTTTTATTACAAAAATGATCTGTTATCATTGAGAACTAGGAAATATAGCTAAACCAAAACATAGGAATGAAAAGCACCCATAGGGGTGCCTGGATGGTTCAGTCGTTAAGCGTCTGCCTTAGGCTCAGGTCATGATCCCAGGGTCCTGGGATCGAGCCCCGCATCAGGCTCCCTGCTCCACGGGAAGCCTGCTTCTCCCTCTCCCATTCCCCCTGCTTGTGTTCCTGCTCTCACTGTGTCTCTCTCTCAAAAAAATAAATAAAATCTCTTAAAAAATAAAAGAAAAAAAAAAAGAAAAGCACCCATTATGCCATTAGGAAGGCAGAGTCTTTTTTTTTTTTTTTTTTAAGATTTATTTATTTGAGAGAGTGACAGAGAGAGCACATGAGCGGGGTGAGGGGCAGAAGGAGAAGCAGACTGCCCCCTGAGCACGGAGCCCAAAGCAGGGCTCAATCCTGGGACCCCAGGATCACAACCCGAGCCGATGGCAGATGCCTAACCGACTGAGTCACCCAGGCGCCCCAGGAAGGCAGAGTCTTAAATGGTCGTGTCCAGACATCTTTCTTGGTGGGATCACTTTCACTTCACCCCAAACCTCCATGCAGTTGGACATCTGCTCCCTGGGGCATTACGTTGAGCACAGACTTTTAGTCCAACTTCTCCAGAGGTTCAGGAGTTTACGGAACATGCCATTCTTTTGCCAGCTCCTGACCAAACACCAGGAACTCACCTGAGACGGAGTACAAGGACCTCCCTAGGTGGGTCATCACCCCATCCAAACCAGTTCGTGTGTCCTGAGGGCCTGTCTTCTTCCCTGCTGGGCAAACCACAAACATAAAAGCTAACAGAACTAGTAGCCTGGCCTTGTAAATCAAACACACACAAATCACCTTTCTTCCCCTCTCCCTATTCCCACGAAGAGGCCCCAAACCATTTCTTCACAAAATGACTCATATTAACCATAGCAGCTTTTACAGCTTAAGGAGCCCTATACTAATGCCAGGGACAGTTCCAAGCACTATGCCAATTACTTGTCTTCTTAAAATTTGCCATACTCCCTACTGACTTTTTTTTTTAAAGGTTTTATTTGACAGAGAGAGACACAGCGAGAGAGGGAACACAAGCAGGGGGAGTGGGAGAGGGAGAAGCAGGCTTCCCGCCGAGCAGGGAGCCTGATGCGGGGCTCGATCCCAGGACCCTGGGACCATGACCTGAGCCGAAGGCAGACGCCTAACGACTGAGCCACCCAGGCGCCCCGCCCTATTGACTTTTGAGGACCAGTTTATACCTTTCTGGGAAGGTCAGGCGCTTAACACAGATCCCTACAACTAACGCGTGCTCAATAACGCTATGGGTGATGAGCAGATGTCTGCATCCTCCTCCACAACAAAGCATTTCAATTCTGGCCTCTGCGGATCTGGTTTTGAAGTTGGGGGTCATTTCAAACTCACTGTGGCTTCTGCCGCTGTTGAGTAAAAAGAAGGGGGGGCACTCATGTGGACACACCTTCTGCCCCTATCCCCAGCCCTGATGGAAGACACTTCAGTCAATAGGAGGCAGGGGAACAGTGGTAGTCGGCCTCCCTACTACGGGAGGGACTCGGAGTTCCCTGCCCTGCCCACCGTGCCGGGACTCCAGCAGATGCAGGAGCCTTCCCCACGCCCCCTACCTGCCCACACACGCAAAATGGTGAGCTCCCGGACCCTCACTTCCTTCAGCAGCGATGTCTAGGGGCTGTTTCGGCGGACCTGCCCCTAAGGGAAGCCCCACTGGCAAGCAGTGAGAGAAATGGAGTAGAAACAACAAATAGGCTGGGAGAGAGAGCTGCCAAAACAAATGCAAAAGAGCTGCTTGCCACCAGCTCTGCCGGGCCCAGGCCAGGAGCATGGAGAGACAAGAATACATACATGCAGGGAAACATCATTCCAGCAAGCTCCCTGCTGGCTCCCCATGCTGCTACTGGGGGCTCTGGGGGCAAGGGGGCCTTGCAGTCGAGGCTGACAGGGGAACGAGGTGGGCGGTATGGAGGGCAGGGGGGATCTGAGAGAAATGCCTCTCATCTTGTCTCCCTTAAGTCTCCCCAGTGCCTCCTGCTTTCTAGCTACCCTGAGTGACCCTTAAGTCCCACAACACCCCCTTCCTATTCACGAACCCCCTTTGCGCATGTGGACCCCTCTGCCAGATATGTCCTCTCTTCTCTTTGCCTGGCAAACTCCTATTCATCCTTCAATACCCAATGTCAAAGGTGAAGCATTTTGGACCCCACCCGGAAGCTAGCCATCTCACTCTCCACATTTCCAAATCATGTCTACTCTTACTTCTTCTTTTTTTAAAACTTTATTTGAGAGAGAGCGAGCACAAGAGGGGGTAGGGTCAGAGGGAGAAGCAGACTCCCTGCTGAGCAGGGAGCCCGATGCGGGACTCGATCCCGGTACTCCGGGATCATGAGCTGAGCCGAAGGCAGTTGCTTAACCAACTGAGCCACCCAGGCACCCTCTACTCTTAATTCTTACATAACTCACCTCACTCACAAAAATGGGTATATCTACCTTCCCAGTGAAATGGGGGAGCTCCTTGAAGGCAGGGGCTTTTGAACTGGTTTTGTATCCCCAGGGCCCACCCTGGGCCTTGACCCAGAGTAGGCACTCTGCATGTTTGTTTGAATGAAGCACTAGTCCTCCTGTCAAGAGTCTGCTTTCTTGAGTTGCAGGCAGTCATCATCCAGTATCCAAGTCCCTCGACAGGAATACCCAAGCCTGAGGGAGGGATTTTGATAAATGAGAAGCCTGATTTTCAGACCCCCAAACCAAACTGCCTGCAAGCAAACTTGAGTAAAATTCTGTTACTATTAGATCAGAGGCTTTCAAACTCTTGTGATTTGGATCAACAGTAAAAAACACAATTTATATCGTAACTAGCACATGTGTAGTACACACAGATCTGTAACTGAAAAGCACCAACAAAACATTACCATTTCAGGTCCATTTCTGTAAAGAGAAAGAATTTTTAAAAGGCTCGGACCCAGTAAATTGATTTTGAGACCCACAAATGGATCACCACCCACTGTGATAAACATTGCTTTAGATGACTCTAGCTTGATAAACATGAGAAATCAGATCCCTTTACAAATATCTGAACAAAAAATACTTATTATCTGTGTGCCCGGTAATTCAGGCAGGAGGCTCTCCCTTCCCACTACAGCAGCCCACCCAGGAGGGTCTAAAGAACTCTGCACCACAGCTGCTTGGAACCACTTGAGCCCAGCAGGACTGGGAATCAAATGAAGCAGTGTGTTAGTCCCTATCACAGAGCCTGACACAAAAGAGGTCCCAGTCTTTGCTCCCTTTGTCTTTAAATGCTCACCTCCCTCATCCTGGGAACCGCCACCAAGAAGCCTGATGCTTCCTGAGTTACAACCATCCCAGCTGCGCTTTCAACAGGTAAAAGTATATACCTTATCCACTCGGCCTCCCTCTGAGAGTACAAAAAAATTTAAAGCAAACACTGGGATTCTCAGGCTTTTGCTTGTACCAAAGTTTGTTTTGTTACACCGTCCATAGTACTATCTCTGCTCTCTGCAAAGGCAAGAAACACCTGGGGTTCCCTCCTGTATGTAAATACTTGTAAAGGTTCCTACTCTCCCTTTCCCCGTACATACAGAATTTACACAGGGGAGAGACAGTGGCAGTGGGGTGGCTGCATACTAACACAACTTGGTAGTTTTTATTGTCTAGGACAATGGTCACAGACCACAAAGACTCGGGAAGACCCATTGCTTGGGCCCAACAAGAGACAATACTCTCCCTCACAGTTCAGAGTCCTCTGGGCTGTAAGGGGACAGGCTTTTTCTTACGTGGCTCTGGTAGAAGGTCCATGACTATACTCAGTACAAGAAGAGCCATATCTGAGCCTAGTTACGTGGGGGTGGGTGGATAAGGCGGCCATCCTCATTTCCATTACTTGGGTGCAACCCTGAAGACCCGGATGTGGATGGCCGAGTTGTTGCGGATGCGGGTCAGAGGCTCTCGTGTATCAGTTTCTGGTTCCAGCTCATCGACAAGCTCCACGGTGGAGGTATTGGCAGCCACCTGCAAGGACCTGAAGCTGCCTGCCTGAAGCTGAGGGCAATGTTGATCGCACGGTTGATGGCCAGGCCCAAGCCATGAATGTAGATCTCACTGCATGAATTCTGACCCCGAGCCCCTCCGTCCAGAAGCTTTTGGCAGCGGGCCAACTGGGCCTTAAAGTCAGTCTTCATGTTGACATAAATGTCATTGGGCCTCCGGGGCAGGCGGTGGGGGAGCCGCTTCCGAAGGGTATACTCCACCGGGTCCAGCTCAGCCTCGACGGCCCCGCGGGGCTCTCGGTTTTCCGCCATGCTGTGTGCCCTGACGCGGGGAAGAGAGATCAGAGAGAGGTGACAAGAGACTTTGCTGCCTTTGCCACCCCGTTTCCAGCCCAAACGGTGCAGACAGGAAGGGACGCACTCAAGCGCCCTCCTGCCTTCCAGCCTCAGTTCCCTCCCACTCACCTCAAGCTCCCGCATCTCCCTCACCCGCAGTTCCTATTCATTGAGGGCATCGCCCCCAGCCTCAGGCCCCTCCACCCGGCCCCTTCCCCCGCGCCTACACTCTCCAGTCCACAGTCCTCTTCCCGAGCTCGCGGCCCGCTCCGGGCCAAGCCACTCAAGCGCTGCGCCCACCCGCTCGGACTGAGCGCGCGGCGCCGGACACGCAGGACCGAAGAAGAGAAGAAATGCGGCGCGCCGGAGGATCGCGAGACTGCGGCCACCCTTACGGCTCGGGGATCCCGAAAGGGCTGCGCAATGCGCACGCGCGCCCATCCCCCGCGATCCACGAATCGCCTTCCCGGCCTCCGTTCTCCCCGCCCCTCTGAGCGTTCGCGCGACCGTGTGGTGTGTCTAAGTAACGCGAGAGCGCTGGGAGACCGGCTCCACCATATGTACGCCACGCAAGCGGGGTGCGGAGGCAGGAGGCGTGTACTAAGTCAAAGCCCGGGAGGGTAAGCTTTCCTGGGTCAGTCCAAGTTCTTGGACCCCACGGAGGGGTCCTGAAGGGGAGAAAGGGAGAGAGGAGGCTTTTCTAGAAGCGTGGAGGATTTGGGGTAGGGGCTTACAAAGACAGACGGGAGGGTTCAAGAAGGTGAAGGGACCTAAAGGCAAGTGTGGACTCCCGCGTCCATCGCAGTACCTCTGGTCAGAGGAGGCGTGGCTGAGTTGGCAGAACCGATCTCCCGCCCAAGGTCCCTGCTGCCCAGAGACCGAGTGGGGAATTGAGGGCTGAGGCTGGGCGCTCGGCAGACGCCGCCGCCTCTGGTCTCCCCTGTAGGACACGGGGACCCGTTCTTCTCCCCTGTCTCTTGCAAGGGCTGACCCCTCAAGTCAGCCTTTGGGGCCCCAGGCTATGAACCGTAGGCCCTACCTTCACGGCTTCCCCGAGAGCACGCTGACCCACCCACACCCCTCAACCTTTACCCATCAGCTAGCTCATCGGCCTCTGTCCACCCCAGCAGGGACGTGCGCCCCCTGGCGGGCAGGGCGGGACGGCGCCTGGAGGTTCGTGGCTCCCAAGGGCCAGTAGGGAGGAGTTTGCTCTGGCCAGACGTATGGGAGAGTTCCCTTCAAAAAGGAGTTAGACCTGCACTGGGGACCTAGAACTATTCCCTACTTGAGTTGTCCCAACACTCAAATGGGGATGAGAATTCCTGTTTTGCAGCTGTGAAACCCAGTATAACCCTGTGAACTGTAAGCCTACACATGGGAGTTGGCATTTTTATGACCCCATTTGACTGGAGGTTGGAAGGGGGTCAGGTTCCTGAGAACTTCGCTCCCAGCACCATTTAAATCCTGTAGTTCTCCTTTTAGCTTCAGATTCTTTCATTAATCACAAGTTTGGGGGTTTATGTGGGGGTAAGGAGGAAAAGCTGGCCACAACCCTATTCAGCCTCCTTGAGCTGAGTTGTTTTTAAGATTTTATTTATTTATTTGACAGAGAGTGCGCACAAGCAGGGGGAACTGCAGGCAGAGGGAGAGGGAGAAGCAGGCTCCCTGCGGAGCAGGGAGCTGGATGCAGGGCTCTATCCCAGGACCCTGAGATCATGACATGAGCTGAAGGCAGATGCTTAACAGACTGAGCCACCCAGGTGCCCCTGAGCTGAGTTTTGATGGATAAACAGGAGTTCTTCAGGGAACCAAGTATTCTGGAAACACTGAAGGGTATTTTTAAAAGAGTGGAAGTGTAATCTAAGCTTCCACCTCAAGGAACTAGAAAATGAAGAGCCAAATAAACCCAAAGGGAAGAGAAGTGAGGAAATAATAAAGAACAAAAACCAATAAAACAACACAAAAACAGTAGAGAAACTCAATGTAAAAGGTGGTTCTTTGCAAAGATCAATAAAGTTGATAAGCATCTAGCAAGACTGACAAAAAAGAAGAACAAGAGAAGGAAAACTGGAGGTGCCTGGCCAGCTCAGTAGAGCATGCAACTCTTGATAGGGGGTTATTAGTTTGAGCCCCATGTTGGGTGTAGAGATTACTTTAAAAAAATCTTAAAAAGAAGGAAGACTCAAATTATGATTACCAGAAACGAAAGCAGGGATAGCACTAAAGATCCTCATATGCAAAAGATACTTAGAGAATATTACAGGCATGCCTTAGAGATATTGTGGGTTGCGTTCCAAACCACTGCAATAAAGTGAATATCACAATAAAATGAGTCAAATTTTTTTTGGTTTCCCAGTACGTACAAAATTTATGTTTACATCATATGTAGTTTATTAAGTTTGCAATGGCATTATGTCTAAAGAAAAGTAATTTAAAAATACTTTATTGATGAAAAATGCTAATCATCGGGCGCCTGGGTGGCTCAGTTGGTTAAGCGACTGCCTTCGGCTCAGGTCATGATCCTGGAGTCCCGGGATCGAGTCCCGCATCGGGCTTCCTGCTCGGCGGGGAGTCTGCTTCTCCCTCTGCCTCTCCCTCTGCCCCTCTTCCCCTGCTTGTGTTCTCTATCTCAAATAAATAAATAAAAAATCTTTAAAAAAAAAAAGAAAAATGCTAATCATCATCTGAGCTTTCAGCGAGTTGTAATTACTGATTACAGATCACCATAACAAATATAAGAAGTTTGAAATATCAAGAGAATTACCAAAATGACAGACACAGAAGTAGGCAAATGCGGGGCGCCTGGGTGGCTCAGTCAGTTAAGCATCTGCCTTCAGCTCAGGTCATGATCTCAAGGTCCTGGGATCATCCTTGTGGGGCTTCCCTGCTCAGCGGGGAGCCTGCTTCTCCCCTCTCCCCCTTGTGCAGGCGCACTCCCTCTCTCAAATACCAATTTTTTTTTAAATAGACTTTATTCTTTTTTTATTTTATTTATTTATTTTTTTTTAAGATTTTATTTGACAGAGAGAGAGAGAGCGAGAGCAGGAACACAAGCAGAGGGAGTGGGAGAGGGAGAAGCAGGCTTCCCGCGGAGCAGGGAGCCCGATGCGGGGCTCAATCCCAGGACCCAGGGATCATGACCTGAGCCGAAGGCAGACACTTAACAACTGAGCCACCCAGGCGCCCCTAGACTTTATTCTTTTTTTAAAAAAATTTATTCATTCATTTGACAGAGAACACAAGCAAGGGGACCATCAGGCAGAGGGAGGAGGAGAAGCAGGCTCCTTAGCAGGGAGCCTGATGCTTGATTCCAGGACCCTGGGATCATGACCTGAGCTGAAGGCAGACGCTCAACCACTGAGCCCTACCCAGGTGTCCCAATAAATAAAATCTTTTTTTTTTTTTTAAGAAGTAAACAGATGCTGTTGGAAAAGTGGTGCTGACAGGATTGCCACAAATGTTCAATTTTTAAAGATTGCAGTACCTACAAAGTACAATAAAATAAGTTATGCCTGTACAAACAACTCTATATATACAAATTCAGCAACTTCGATGAAATGGACCAATCTCCTAGACAACCACAACCTACCAAACTTACCTGAGATGAAGCGGATCATCTGAATAGTCCTGTAATTATTCAAGTAATTACATTCATAGTTAAAAAAAAAAAAAAAAAACCTTTAAAAAAAATATCTAGGTCCACATTTCAGTGGTGAACTCTAGCAAAAAAAAAACAAAAACAAATTCTACACAATCTCTTCTTTATAGAGGAGGAAGGAACATTTCCTAACTAATTTTATTTTATTTTTATTTATTTTTTTTAAAGATTTTATTTATTTGACAGATAGCGAGAGAGGGAACACAAGCAGGGGGAGTGGGAGAGGGAGAAGCAGGCTTCCTGCCGAGCAGGGAGCCTGATGTGGGGCTCGATCCCAGGACCCTAAGATCATGACCTGAGCCGAAGGCAGACGCTTAACGACTGAGCCATCCAGGCGCCCCTCCTAACTAATTTTATGAGACCAAAACCAGACAAAGATTATACAAACGAAAGCTACAGACCAAAATTTCTCATGAACAAAGATGTAAAAATTCTCAACAAAATTCTAGCAAACTGCATCCAGCAGTATATAAAAAGAATTATAAATCATGACAAAGTAGAGTTTACTCCAAAGTTGCCGGACTGGTTCAATATAAGAAAACCAATTGCTCTCATTTACCATATTAACAGGCTAAACAATGTATATGATCATACCAATCAATACAGAAACATTTAACATAATTTAGTATTCATTTATGAAAAAAAAAACTCAGCAAAGAATAGAAGGAACTTCCTCAACCTGTTAAAGAACATCTACAGAGGGGTGCCTAGGTGGCTCAGTCAGTTAAGTGTCTGCCTTTGGCTTAGGTCATGATCTCAGGGCCTGGGATCAAAACCAGAGCCCCATGAGCCCAAAGCCCCATGAGCCAAGAGCCCCAGGAGTCCCATTGCAGGCTCCCTGCTCAGTGGGGAGCCTGCTTCTCCCTTTCCCTCTGCTGCTCCCACTGACTGTGCTCTCTCTCTCTCAAATAAATAAAATCTTTTAAAAAAAAGTCTACAGAAACCCTACAGCTACAATCATACTTAATGGTGTAAGACCAGACAGTTTTCTCTTAAAATCAGGAACCCTCTCTCGTGGTTAAAGTCCCAACCAGTTCAATAAGGCAAGGAAAGGATACAGTGCAATAAGGCAAAGAAAAGATTAGAAAGGAAGATATAAAACTCTCTGTTTGCAGATGGCATGACTGTATACATAAAAAGTCCCAAGGAATCTACAAAGAACTCGTATAATTAATAAATGGGTTTAGCAAGTTTAACAGGATACAAGATTAACATACAAAAATCAACTGTATTTATATATACTGTCAATAAATAGTTGGACACCAAAATTTAAAATACAATACTATTTACACTGGGGGGGAAATACAGGGGGTGAGGAGGGAAGTAGAAGGAGGGAGAAATATTTAGGTGTAAGTCTGACAAAACATGTATAGAATATGCTAAAAACTACAAAACCCTGATGAAGAACTTAAAGAAGATCTAAATTAATGGAGAGATGTCCATATGTCCATGTATTGGAAGACTGAACATAGTAAAGATACCAATTCTCTCCAAACTGAACTCCACATTTAAGGCAATTCCTATGAAAATCCCAGCAAGAATCTCTGTAGTTACAGACAGCTTTATTATAAAAGTTAACATGGAAGGGCAAG